CTCAGCTCAAGGACCCCCTCTTCTAAGAAGTGTTCCCTGACCCTTGGCAGACAGAGGTAGCAATTTCTTATCTGAATTACCACGGTGCCCCATTACACTTCTGGTGGGGCCCTTATCACAGTTTGCTGCAATCTGTAGGGCCCCTTAGAAGCCCTTTTTCATCTTGTATTCCCAGTACCTTTGTACCTGGCATATAATAGCAGGCCCTCAAAAACATTTGTAAAATGAAATAATGAATGAATGACTTGGATAAAGCAATCAATATGTAGCTTAGTGTGAATTATATAGACATATGTAATATGTACATAATCTAAAGAATGTACTTAAAGATACTCCTATTGAAGTCCATTTAACATTAATACTTTTTATTGTAGCTTATTCGGAATATATGAGTTAATGACTAACAATATCCAAAGTCCAAGATAATTGCTTAGTGATCAATATAAAAGGCTGAGTTTGCTTTCATATTTCTTTTACATTATCTCAAAGGGTTTTTTTTTACCTTACCTGCTGTTTGGGTTCCCATAACCATGCTGGTTTAGCCTAGAGAGTATCATCATGGGAGCCAAAGACTGAGCAGGTTTGGTAAACAAAGCATTGATGCCAAAAACCATGGAGGGAAGAGATGACCTGGAACAGACAAAAATAGCATAGGTCTATATCACACACAAATTACATGTGTGTATATGTTTGTATGTATACATGTATGTATATATGTATATGTAAATATGTATCAAGGACCTTTTTGTCTATGAATTCTTCCTTGATCCTAAGCAGACAATAATAGAAATATTGATAGTATAGTACTATAAAATATTAGCCCCTTAGTTATTAGGGGTTATAAAACTAAAAGAAACTAACTTTTTTTTTCTTTTTTTTTTTTGAGACAGTCTTGCTCTGTTGACTACAGGCCCGAACCACCACGCCCAGCTAATTTGTCTATTTTTAGGAGAGATGAGGTATCACTCCTGTTCAGGTTGGTCTTGAACTCCCAAGCCCATGGGATCCTCCCGCCCCGGCCTCCCAGAGTGCTAGGATTACAGGCATAAGCCACCACATTGGGCCAAGAACCTAACTCTTAAATGAAGAAACTAAGATCCAAAGAGAAGGCTTAGCTAGTCTCTTAAATGCTCATTAAATGAGAGTTATTTGTGCCTTGTACTGTAGTATGTGCTATAATTATTTCATTTAAACCCCACGACAATCCCACGGGAAGGACATCACCACCCTTGTTTTAGAGATGGGAAAACAGATTAACTTGTCCACATTTACACAGCTGGCAAATGATAGAACTGGGATTCATGCCTCAATTTTTCTGCCCAAATTTTATTACTTTAATATATTCATTAAATAGAATTCATTAAATAGTAAGAATCCTGCCATATAATTTTTAAAATAATTATGTCATATAAAAGAAATCAAGTACATTGACTGAATAAATTGAAGTCTTATCATATTTCAACTAATGATGGAAATCTTGCCACTAAGGAGGTGAAAAAAAAAGAAGACAAAAGGGAGGAGAAGAAAGAAAAAGAAAGAGGGGGGAAAGAAAAAAAGAAAGGGAAGACAAGGTCAAGGAATTAGAGGACTGGGCTCAAGCGATCCTCCTGCCTCAGCCTCCCAAGTAGCTGGGACTGCAGATGTGTATCACCACACCTGGCTGATTTTTCTATTTTTTGTAGAGATGGGGGGGGGGTCTCGCTATGTTGGTCAGGCTGGTCTTAAGCTCCTGGCCTCAAGCGATCCTCCCACTCCAGCTTCCCAAAGTGTTGGGATTACTGTGCCCCAGCCTGGACCTTGGTTTTTCATTTTAATGCTTTCAATGTCACAGAGTAAAGGTCATCTTGCCTTATTGTCCTGTGTAATAATGTATATGCAATATGTAGAACATAAAGCTAACTGAGACTTCACTTTTGTTTCTTAGATATTGGTTATGTGAACCTGAGGAATAAAAACTTATGATTTCCTTTCAGAAATGGAGAAAAGTTGCCTAGGGCTAACAAATATGAATATCTTATTATATTCTACTCTCTGGTTCCCAATGATGCCTCTTATAATTGTCTTTCAGATATGCAATTTGTAGCGGCAATATAACTGAGATATGGGGACTCTGTAGGTCCTGCCTACATGTGATATTTTTGTAGCTAATATTTGAATAAATATACTTACTGCTGATTGAACTTTAGTAAATCTACATCAACCATGTCAGCTAGTGGCAGGTTAAACAAGGAAAAAGAAGCTCGCACAATCACCCTAGAAAAAAATTTAAAATATACATGTCAAAATTTTAACACTGGGAGGCAGAGCTTTTTTAAAAAAAAATTAAATGAAAGTTGTTGACATTTGGTTTGCAAGAAGAAAAAGGAAATAATATACTACAAAAGTAAAGACATATTAGGCATATATTAACACTTCTATCCCCTCAAATATTATATATCTAAGAGTATATAATTCTCTTTTAAAAATGAAATAACTACTTTCACTTGGGATTCTTAAAAATGGATTTTATGCATTTT